GCTGGGATGAGATCGGGGTCCAGGAGACCGGTTGAAGAAGGAAATCAGTTCACGTGGTGTCAGGTGGACGCTGCCTTCCAGGCATCGCAAGGGTTCAGGACTTCATTCTGAGTGAGAAGGGGCGGCATCAGGGAGCTGTGAGAATCCAGGTGACACCACATGACCCGGAATTGAGCAATGTCACCTAAGAGTTGAGTGACATGACTCTCACAGAGGTTCGCCTTTGGTTTTACTAGGCCAGATTATGAGCCTGGTGAGGCGGACACGAGTTCGACCATGCTTGTCTCTGCAGATGCTGTAGTTTTTGCTGTGGACCTGGTCTCAACTGGCAAAACATCTCCCGAGAGAATCTCATAGATGTGCGCTTCAGAACTCCAAAACACCCGTGTCGCCTTTGAGGCACTTCAGAAATGTCATCTGCCCAGTGTAAATCAGTTCCTGGAACATTCATCGCAAGGAACTGATAGTTTCCATTTGGAGAATCTTGGTTTTTTTTTCTGTGCCCTTTGCACTATGAAAGTAGGTCCTTCTTAAAAGAAATAACCTTGGGGTAGAGCGAAAATTATGAATTGCTTTGCCTGACATTGTTCAAATGACACTTGCGCCTATCTGTCACAGACGTACCTCTTCTAAAGTTTAAAGCAAATAAAAATGAAAGAGAGCCTCTTTGTGTTAGTTAAATTGTTGCAGAATTGGACAATGGCAATCTTACAATAGCTCATTTTTATAGACTCCTCTAACTTGACTAATCTAATTTCTTTTTTATTTATTTGGACACAGGCTTAGCAAATTAGATTTGCCAAAATTAAAGAAGTTCTTCAAGAGAACTTCTACTTGAAGTTCAAAGATAACAGGTGACCAACAGCAAAAGTGCCCTGCAGATTAGAAATCTGTGCAGGACATTCTAAAGCCCCCCATTTCATCTGGAGACAGAAGACTAAATAAAATAGAGGTCTCTGAGTTGGTAGACCAAGAAAAATCTACCTTTAAGTGAATAGCATATTCTAATAGGATAAATTCTAGTCTAATGCTTTTTACGCCTGGATGTGTATGTGAATTACCTAAGGGTTTGTTCTAGTGCAGATTCTATTTCAATAGATCTAGTATGGGGATTGAACTCTGCGCCTTCGAGCAGGTACCCTTTTAACACACTGCTGGTCTTTTCACCTCATTCTGAGTGACCAGGTCCTAGCAGACAGCTTCTTGTACAGAGCCATCAGTTCACTCTGTGTTGTAATTTAATCTTTAGAAAATGTGGATTGCAAAATATTAGATACTGATGAATAAGTCATTGGGAAGGACAGAAAGGGAGTGAGCTAATAATCCACAAGAGCCTGAAGTGGGCTGGCAGTAGCACCTGTTGTTTCATGTGTGCTATTCTGTAGACTTTCTGAACTGCACTTTGAGACTCATGTTTGGATGACAGATTTGAATACACACAATAATTCCATGTACACTATAGAATGAAGCCAGAAGGTGCAGGGAGATAAGTAGTGAATGTACCATTATCCATCATTGAAAGGAAGAATCGTGGATTAGGGTTGTAACACTTTAGCGAAGGTCTAGATATGTTGTTGAATGGCTTTTCCAAGGTCTTCTAGCATATTGCATTTCCATAACTGAGATATATGGTCTTGGTTCTCACCTCCTAACAATGTCATGCTGTTTCTTAGGAGTGGATCATTAACCAAATCCAGAGAGATGTAAATGCAAAGTTTGATGGCTAGGGTATGGGAATTGCAGTCTTTACAGACAGCAAAGCAGCAGCTGTGTGTGTGTGTGTGTGTGTGTGTGTGTGTGTGTGTGTGTGTGTGTGTGTGTAGAGGAGGATAGTAGATGTATAGATGCATATCTGACAGGGCCTGAAAACACTGAATAATCTCCCAGGAATATTTAGGAAGCCTTGAGAAAATAAAAATGAAATGACATAGAATGAGGCAACCATGGTGAAAACCAAGGATATAGTAGTTGGCTATGGGAATGAACAGAGGCAGTGAATTTAAAAGGAATAAAAAATTCTTTGTTATTGATCAAGCAGAAAGGTTGTAGATAGGCGAATGTTTAAGAATGGCTTCCTCTCTCTCTCTCCCCCCCTACAGAAGTAATTAATAAAGATATGCTTGATGATTAGACCAGATGAGGATTTCAACTTTGGTTTCACGTATTAACTCCATGACCCTGATGTGTAATTTATAGTCTTTACACCTCATAGAGTTTATAGAAAATGATGAGAGAATCTGTCTAAAATAATGAGTAAACTTCTTGATCCCACAGAGTTAGGGTATGGAATATGGGTACGCACAAGAATGATACTGCTGTTATTTGCAAAAGGTTCTCAACATTTTGAATCTGTTCTTGAAACAGGTGGAGTGGCAAGAGCAAGGTACAGCAGCTGCTCTGAACATGATTTGCTGTGCACTATGGTTTGTAGAGGATACGTGAGGTCTGTGGGACTCTTGGGTTAGATTTCTAACTTGACAGATACTGAGAGCCAGCAGGGTTCAGAGGTTATGGTTCAAAGTTACAGGGAGAGAGGTGCGATCAGTGCCAAAGGCAAACTACATGTAGGCTCCTTCTGCCTTGAGTTGCCTTCTAGGACTTTGAAATCTTAACTGTTGCATCAACAAATTAAAGGGCAGAAACACACACCTAAGGAAGGAGGCAATCTATGAAATTTAATAATAAGGTAACCATGTAATGACCAAGTAAGCAAAGGAGAATGAGAGAGACACAAAGACTTCAGGTAGATGGAGTCTGAGACACAGATTCTAAGTAAAAAGCATAGAGAAAATCTGGTAAGAGTAGAGGAAATAATTTAAAGTTACTCTCTAGTAGTCAGATGATTATAAAATCTAAGAAAGTTATAGGAACTAAGGATCAAAAAGCTGGCAGAAAAATAAAGGTGGAAAAGCAGTAATTGATTCTGATGCTGAATGTACTTGGTATCTAACGACCAGAAGACTTTTGTTTCAGATCTCATTCTGTTGATCACAGGCAGATGGTCTGAGTGACAGGTGCAGCCCATTTAACTGAAGACAGGCTTGCCAACAGTACAGGCCAGGCCGTCTTCCTCCCCAGTGGCAAGACACTGTCCCTATATCAAATGGCAGTACTCAGATTTCTTTCTGTAGTCTGACACCCAGCGTAACCCCTAAAATTCCATGTTGGCTTTACTATTTTGTATGTTCTGAGTATGGAGTTGTATTGATTATCTGCATTGATTTCACAAAGGTGTATGGAAGAGGGGGAGATGCAGAGTAGCAGAAAGAAGGAAAAATTAAGCAGAAAGACAAAATGAAAAGAGAGACAGGAACTATCACAATTTAGAATCATGGCCAAAATATCAAGCGTCTTCCTGATTATGGGTGGCTGTAGAAGTCAGTAACACCCTTTGCTTTTTTCTTGTGCAGCATTTACTGGAGGGATACTGCCCTCCCTCTATATAAACATACATATATATATATATATAAATGTGTGGTACTATTATGTACTTATTGTTATTTTATATTGTATGTTATAGAATATAGATATTATGTTTGGTGACTTCACACTTAACTGGATATTACTAGCTCCATTTTTTTCCTCTTCAGAGAAATCAGTTTCTTAAGTAGGATAGATTTCTCAGCTTGGGGAATAAAGAGACTCCTCTTAATTTTTCCCAGTTGGTGTATACATAAAAGGACAACTGAGAAAATATCAATTGAAAAAAGTATTGCAGAGTGACATTTATTCAAGACTCAAAATATATCAGGTGCTTTATAGAGTAGAGTTAAGTGTAGTCCGTGAAGATGTGACTTGTGAACATGAGAACTGACTGAGAAGAGCTAATTTACTATTTGCCAAAAGGCAGTGGGTTTGAGGAGGAGTGCAGCAAAATGTTTAAAGAGAAAGAGCGTCACAACTTTGTATTAAATTCTTGTTAGGGCTTTTTTGAGACTTATCAATCATTTTGTGGCATTGTACAGTGTTACAAGACTTGGGAGTTTGTGGAACATCATTCTGAAATTGCCCCAAACTAGAAATCTTTCTCTGTTTTTGTCAAAACAACCTTGGGTACAGGTTTATGAATCTTGAATGACTGATGTATTAGCTAAAACTCTTTTGATTGCAAGTTACAGAAATAGACTTTAGTTAGAGAAAATGGGGAATCTAGCTTACAAGTAAAAGAAAGCCCTAGGGCACCTCAGGACAGGAAGTCAGATGGTCCCAGGTCCTTGGAAAGCCCCAAGCCTGTCCCTGTTGGGGCTCCTTCTCTGTGTGCTTTGCTCTGACCTTCTTGACCTTCATAGACCTGCTTTTTAAATCAGATTAAGGTTTCTCACAACTTGCTCTCGATATTAAATTTCACTCTCCCAAAGTAATGTAGAGTAAGGAAATGTCTGTCTCTCATTCTGAGGAGAGAGAATCTGCTGGCTGCTCTCCTCAGTTCCATCATGCCTACTTTGGGCCTGACTTCCTGAGTCTGCTGTGTGGATGTGAGGCAGGGGGATAGGTTTCACAGAAAGAAAATTGTCACAGGTTTGCTGGGGGTGCAAAGGTTACCTTGCAGGGCGCAGCCAGCCTGGCAACGGATGTTTATCAAACAAAATGTCTTCAGCCAGTGAATTATCAAGAGCAGAAGAATTTGCTTGGCTATCTGAATAAAGTTTGTTTGTTTGTTTGTTTTTTTGCATTTTGACTGTTATGATAATAAATTTATTTTGTGGTGCTGGTGATCAAACTCAGGTCCCCTGCCCCATGTCCATCTTTATAACTTGATGGTTGTCATCATAAAGCGACTCATTGATTATAAGTAGTTAAAAATTCTTGTAATGAGCTGTACACTGAAGTTGCATTAGTTAAAGTAACTTCATTTCCAGTCTGTTTTTATACATTTGTAAAATCCTTTTAAAATTTAAAATTTATATTTTTGTGAGAAATTTGGATAAGCCAAGAATGCTCATATTTATTCAATGTAATAATATTTGTTTCTTTATTTTTAAAAAAATTTATTCATGAAGACTAAGCCTGGAGTAATTCGCCCGGTACCTATAAAATCCAGAATATTACTGAAAAAAGAGGAAGAAGTCTATGAACCCAACCCTTTCAGTAAATACCTGGATGATAACAGTGGTTTCTTCTCTGAACAGGTGAGCAGACACTTGTTATTTTGATAAATGACTCTATTAAGTGTAAGTGTCTATTAATATGTACAAGAAAATATGTATTAGGATATATTTGGTAATAAAAAGATCATTTTTTGCATAAGAAATAAGAAATCTTATATAATTCCAGGATATACTTTTAAGGATTTTAATTTTTTTTTCTAAAAAAATGTCTACCTAAAGTAGTCATTGTTTGGGGACCAAGACATTAACCTCTGTGATTCATCTTATTAAATCACAAAGTGCATGGGTCATACACGTACTGCGTCATCATTTATAAAATCCTGCTTTCATTGGAAGACATGAAGCATTTTAGCTTTGGTGCATAAAAATTGACAAAAGTCCTGTTTTTGAATCATATTAACAGTGGAGGCAGTACAGTTGCCTGGGTTGAGCAGTACCAATTACAGGCTAAGGGCTCAGTCACTTTAATGCTCTCTTGTTTTCTGTGTTTGTGAAAATGTATACTTTGTTCCCCTTATAAATACTGTAGGTTAGAGGAAGGGTGATAGAAGGGGGGCTTTTAAGAGGTCTTGAAATATGTGACAATGCATATGCAATATATAACTTTATAGCTGGGCGCGGTGGTGCACACCAGTAATCCCAGCACTCAGGAGGCTGAGGCAGGAGGATCGCTATGAGTTTGAGATCAGCCTGGGCTACAGCAGTGAGTTTCAGATCATTCTCCACTACCTAGTAAGATCCTATCTCAAAAAAACAAACAAACAAAAAAACCCCAAAACAAAAACAAAAACAAAAACAAAAAAACTCAACCAACCAAACAAAAAAACCAAACCAAAACAAAACAACTTTATAAATGATATAAAAGTGAAATTGTACATCTTTGCCTTATGAAAATGAAATAAATGAGTGGGTTTTATTTTTTATATCTTAGGTATTATTAAGCCATGTAAATTATATAAGGTATATATGATACATGATACCTGGATAAGTAATGTATGATATCCAGAAACATTTCTGAATAAAATCAGGACATGCAAAATGCTCACATATCATAATTTGTAATACAACAGATTTATGAAGGAAAACAAAGGTGGTGTACTCTTTAAAAAATGTTAGTTATAACTAATAGTCGTCTTGAAAATATGAATTCCATTCGTATTTGTGCAATTTAAGGCCTGTTTTATCAGCCACGTCTGACCCTGGGTGTGTTGTTTCATCTGTCCATGTTTCAGTTCCTTAACGTAAAAAAAGAAGTGTTCAGATCAGAGACTGTTTAAACTGTAAAATTGGGATTACCTTATGATTAGCTCTGATGGATCTGAAATCCCTGTGTTCGTTAAGAAGTTCATTATAAATACGTTCCCACAACTTACTGTGGATTTTATTTATGAAATGAAGTATGTTAAGGGATACCTCTAGTGCCAGGAACTCGGGAAGCTGAGACAGAAGGATCACATGAGCTCACAATTTGAAGACAAGTCTGGCCAACGTAGCCAGGCCATGTCTCTAAATCAGTCAGTCAATCGATCAATCAATAGAAATGGAGATGAAAATATTTTCCATTTTTATATATTTTGTGAGACTATGATTTTTGATGTTCTACTTTTTAAAGAATCCACTAAGATCACTCAAAGGATAATTAGAGGCATTTGTGGAACAAAACCTAGTCTTCAATTAGAGACATCTTACTAATATATAAATTATCTCTATCAATTGACAAATAACAGAAATGGAAATTCCTGTTACCAAAGCATATTTCATTATCAATAAAATACTTAGGAAATATCTATCGCTTGTGTGGTACTAACATTTCAGGGACTTACTGTGAAGTTTTAGACAGTATGAGGTCACTAGATAAAGCTTGTAAAAACAACCCAGTATATTTACTTGAAAAAATAACTGCCAAAAGTTAAAATAAATTTCATATATTATCCATGTAACTTATATTCCATAAAACATTATCTAACTTATAATACCATAGTTTTATCCTCTTGTATGCTTTAAATTTGTGCAGTTTATTTCAAGCAAATATTCTTCCAAATATCAAGTTGATCTACCTTAATTTATCATCAGTTATCCCCTTGTCGAATGATGAATTCCATTTTTAAGGGCAGGAAATTCTTATCATTAATAAGAATTGCCATTTCCTTTCAACACGTTTTCCCTTTCCATAGATTTAAAGCTCCGTTTATGTTACAACACACCCCTATTTATTTTAAAATAATTATTTGAAAATGTCACCTGTTTTGCTCATATATGCCAGGAGGCCATAGACATAATCTTACTGATATTTTCTTTCAACCAACTTATTTGTTTATATCCTCACTTGAGTGAGATATATAAGGAACCTGCGGACAGGAAGAATTGAAAGTAGTCTAACGGACTACTTCAAAGTAAATTGTAAAGTCCCAAATCTTATTTATTGGCCATGTATAGAAGGGAAAATTATGGTAGCACCATGGGGCCCCGCATGCCCAGGAAACTGTGTATACTACTGTTATCACATGCCTTTTTTTTTTTTACACTGAGCTCTAACTACCATTTAATTGTATCCAGAATCTACAGTAGGAGCAGATCCCAAAGGCAGCTCACAAATGTGAACATTGAGCTGTACGTGAAAGTATAATCTGAGTAATAGCATTTTTTAATCTCAGCATTGCTGTTGTATCAGAACTCCAATAGAAGAAAGCATATTCAAATCCAGTTCTGATTACTACTAAATGCTCCACACAGTCCCGTCACAGAGTAAATTGAATGATTTCATATTTGGTTGCTCTCACCCACCCATGTAATAGAAAATATTTTAGCCAAATGGTTGGCCAAATTGCAGCAGCTCACATTCGCTCAGCTGCCTTGCACTGGGACATTTTCCACATCACAGGAGTTGCTGGATGGGATTGTTAAGTCAATATATTTTCCCTAGCAGATTCACTGCCATAAAATGTGATTTCAAAACTCTGTTAGAAAATGTCAGATGCTAAAGATGATGCGACTAGACAGAGATGCATTTATTGTAGCTCAGAAAAGTACAGCTGGGCAGCTTTTTGAATGATTATGGACTGAACATTTGCTTGGAAACAGCCTCTCAGTACTAAAAGCAAAGTTTGAAACCAAATGCATAATCAAGTAATTGAGACTTATTATTTAACAACTTTTACATCAAAATGGCATAGGCCAGGAAGCATCATTCTATAGCAGATGGAAATTTTTAACAGAAACTCTTTTGAATGAAGCTATGCTTTTCTGAAATTATCTTCAACCCATTATTTTATCAATTTATGGTCCTTTTGATTTACTACATGGCATTTTCACTCTCCGCCCTAAATATATGGATTTTAAAAAATGATGTGCTTTGAAACATGTTTCTATTCATATTTAAGGGCAGAGTTGAAAAATAATAGAATTGTTTGGACAAATGAGTATCCAGAGAGAATACATAGAGTTTTGGAAAATCAATTCATGCATGAAAATGAAAATACTACAGAGCAAAATGATTTTCAGTTTATTATGACTACTTGTGAGGCATAAGATACATTGTTTGCTTTCTGATTGTTTTCTATGTCTAATTAGACGAAGGTAATTGTTTTTACCAGTGATTTTCCTTTTAAGAAAGCAATCATTAACTCATTAACTTTACTTTTATAAATTATTTTTTTTTTTTATTGAGTTTATTGGTACATTTAGGGATACAGTACAGTTACATTCATTGTTGGGATCATGTACCTTTACATGGCAAGTCTTGATTCTCATTTTTTTCCCCTTACCTCTGCCCTCCCTTCACCCCCTCCTCCCCTCCCCATCTACAAACACTTTATTTTCATCTTTTCATTCTCTCACATTTTTTTCTTTTCCCTTTTTGTTCTTCCCCTACGTATCACACCTTCCCTACACCTTTAGCTCCTTTCCTCCCATTTCTAAATGTCAGTAATCTTATTAGAATCTTATGCATTGTTGCAGAATATTCACACCAGGGAAACTATTTGGTATTTACACATGTGGGACTTATTTATTTCACTTAGGAGTATATCTTCAATATGTATCCATTTTCCTATGAATGAATCTATTCTCTCGCTCTTTATGGCTGAGTAATATTCCATTTTATAGAAAAACCACAACTTCTTTATCCAGTTTCCAACGGATGGGCAAATAGGTTGTTTCCAAGATTTAGCTATTACAAACTGTGCCGCTATAAACATGGGTGCACATACTTCTCTGTGATATGATTCTTTTAGTTCTCTTGGAAAGATACCCAACAGAGGGATGGCTGGGTCAAATGGAACCTCCAGTCCAAGCTCTTTGAGGTATCTCCATATTGATTTCCATAGTGGTTGCACTAGTCTGCACTCCCACCAACAATGGAGGAGGGTTCCTTTCTCCCCACAACCCCGCCAACATTTGTTATTGTGTGATTTCTTGATAGCAGCCATTCTTTGTGGGGTGAGGTGGAATCTCAGTGTTGTTTTCATCTGCATCTCTCGAATGACCAGTGATGTGGAACATTTTTTCATATATTTTCTTGCTGCTTTCACTTCTTTGTATGAGAAATGTCTGTTCATTTCGGATGCCCATTTTTGGATCGGGTCTTTATATTTGGGGGGACTGATTGTTTTGAGTTCTTTATATATCCTTGATAATAGTCCTTTGTCTGAGGTACAGCTGGTAAAAATTTTTTCCCACATTGTAGATTGTCTCTTAGTTCTGCTAATGGTTTCTTTTGAAGTACAGAAGCTTTTTAGTAAGATGAGATCCCAGTTGTTGATTCTTTCTGCTAGTTCCCGTGCTACTGAGGATTTGTTCATAAAGTCTTTTCCTATACCAATGTCTTCCAGAGTTCTGCCTAACTTACTTTCCAGCAAGTTTAATGTTTCTGTTTTAATATTTAGATCTTTAATCCATTTGGATTTTAATTTAGTGCATGGCGAAAGATAAGGGTCTAATTTTAATCTGTGACAGGTTGATATCCAGTTTTTCCAACACCATTTATTAAAGAGGCTATCTTTCCTCCACTGAGGATGGTGAGC